ATAAGTTGCTCTGGTAACAAATGATCGATATAAGACAATTAACATCTGGGTTTTCCGCGATCTCTTCTGGCTGCAGTGCAATGCGTTTTAACGTGTTAGGCTTATTTTGTTTCACAGGAGAAACCTACGTACAAGTCTAAGAGTCTGCTACATGTTGCTATTGGGCGAAATTGTATTCACTTAGTTGATTTAGGGGCCGACCATTTAACTTTTGAGGGGAGGGGATGGGTGATTTTGAAAAAAATTTTCTGCAAGCGCTTGTTGGAAGAAAAAAATTGCATGCAGCGCAAATGTAACAGAAAAAAAAGGGCATTTAGAATGGAAAAAATATCCTGCACAGCAGATTGCCAGAAAAAAATTTCTTGATGACCAGAAATCCCCCACCCCCCCTCAAAAGTTAAATGGTCGGCCCCTTAGTAAATATTCTTAGAGTTTGCATGGCAACTAAGGCATTAACAGTCAAAGGAAGTTGGAGTCAAATGTGGCTCTTGTAAATGCTGCATTATTGAATTCGAGGCTAATTGATAATGTCAAAACTTATCAGATGTCAGCTCAATTGTTTTTGAGCGGGAACTTACTTACTCAAAACTAAGGCTCATTTATAGGAAACTGCGTCATGTGCTTTAGAAAACATCCAAGCAACAACTTGATCACGTAGCATTTGGTGTTGCCCAGTTGATTTAAAAAAATCAGACAATAAGCACCAGTGTATGATTAGTAAGTGATGAAGGGGACACTAGTTATGTTAGTTTTCGATGAATAAGTTTTCCTTAATCATAATGAAAATGCACTGCAACCTTGATATGTAATGTTTGTAGATACCTTTGATATGTAATGGTTGTTGTCATTTCTGCTTTTAAATTAATAATTTAATATTTAATTTCTGTTTCTTGTATATTTATTGAATCTTTTGTTGAACCGAAATCTATGTAAGATGTTTTAGCGTCCACACACTGCCCGCCGAGACTAGCTATGCTATTTGTGGGTAGTGGTTGATTATGTTAAGTTAAGTTTAATTCCATTAAAAGAAAATAAAGGAATAAAAAATAAAGGATCGTTTGGTAATAAAGCTGCTGAGCTTGTTTTGCATTAACTGCTCTAGAATCCAAAGATCTACTTCCGAAGCGATCTATGAGATTATCCGCGAATCTCAAATCGTAAACCGAGGTGTTTTAATGTGTAAATTTGGTTTTGTAGAAGAAATAAATGTGACATATGTTTTTAGCATCTACCAGCTTGTTGATGAGAATTTGCATGAGATTTCAGTTGGCAAATAAGGCGCGAGCGTCAAGAAACTTAAGTTAGGTTTGGCCAGGGTGAATGTTGCATTTGAATTTTTAAGGTTCTTTTATGGTGTCAAAAGTAATCAGACGCCAGTTTGTTTAAGCAGGAACTGATTGACGCTATAATCGGGTGCATTTGAGAAACTGCGTCACATTTGTGTGCTTTGACAGACATCAGAGTAAAGACGTTCTTTGCCATAACTATAATTCCTGTCATAAGAAAGAGTCCATGACAGTTGCCTTCGCTTCTTTCTGTCTGTCAGAGTGCTGACGTATTGCTGCACCAAATGTTTGCGCCCAGACTATCCCATCATCCTCTGCATGCCCTGTGGTGCCATCGGTACATGTGGATACCGGTATGGCCAACAGTATCGTGGCGCTCTCGGGCGTACAGGATACCAAGACTTTGGGTTTGTAAAATAAAACACTACCTAATGGGTTGTTCTCATTACGCCCTTCCTAAGTTTCTTGCGTACTGCCAACATCGTGCAAAATTCTCCTTTAGTTCCCAGTTCTCGGTAATTTTTTTTTATCAACTAGTTCGATCATGTAAATTGGCCTCTGTAAAGGTTTAAAAGCTGACTTTTCGAGTGTTAGCTCTTCGTCAAAGCGAATGACAAGGGGTTAATGCTCAAAACGTTAGATTTTCAACCTTTACGGTGGTTAATTTACATTATCAACTTAGTTGCTAGAAACAAATTACCTCGTTATCCCCACCGAGTTTTGCAGCGCTACAGTTTCTTTAGAAAACTACCCCCTTTATTCCCAGTTGATGGTTTGTTTAAGTGATTATTTCCCGAAGCCTCCATCTCAATATCCTATTCACTCACCTCACGACGCAGTCGTAAAAAAAACCCAGCATCTCGCTCCCCTCTTACTCCAATCTCCCGGATCCCGACCTTCAAAGTACGCCGAATCTCGGATCCCGAAAAAACCTGTGGAGGACCCTCACAAAATCGTGCTTCATCAGTACATACAGCGGACAGTCAACACTATTGAGACCCTCAAAACGTTCACAAAAGACCTCTTACCGCCCTGACTGTTTGGAACCCCTTCCAGTGTCTCATCTTTTCTGCTCTTTACAAGGAAGTTAGAGGAGGAACCTGGGTACAAGGCGTGACGCCGGTGAGAACAGAGTGAGCGGTCAAATCAGCACGAAAATTATCGTTGTGAACGGGTTTGTGCTTAAGACTGATACAAAACCATAGATTTCTTATCTATCAAGCAAACACGATGTCTAGCCAATACGATAAACCCCTCTCAATAGGTAAGATGAATTGAATTTTGCATTGGATTTTTCAAAGCGTATATTTAAAGCGGAAGGCAGGCATGCTTTTATCAACAAGTGCCGTAAATTCCGCATCGTTCATGTGTTACGAATTCGAAGTACATACAGTAACAACCTTGTCCGCGAAGGTAATCGATCCCAAGTCTCAAAAGAACCTTTCGGTAATCGAGACGAACTCGTTAGTCTAGAAGCGAGTTATCTCAAAGCGCAACAGTTAACTGACCATGCTTTCATAAATGACGGGATGTTCTACCGATTTGTTTTCCTTCCGTATTTTTAAATTTGTTGGGGAGAGTGTATTGCAGTTAAGTGCATAAGAACACCATGTAGTTCTTAAATATAGTTCGAAATGTAGCCATGAATATCAACAGTTGTCGCTCGCTTACACGAGGCAACGCAAGTACCGAAGGTGCAGAATTTAATTCCCAGAATTAAGCGTATCGACAAATGAAATTAAAGTCAGTTTCTACCTAAACACGATGAAAATTTTATCACGAATTGTTGCCGAGAATTTGATACTAACTCTTAGTTGGTTTAAAAGCGGTAAATTGCGTTAATTTACCACGTAATGTTTAAACCAAATTCTGAGAATATTGCAGTTGTGCGTGACAAATTGTTTTCTGCGAATTGACGAACACGACTGAAAAGGTTACTTTCAAACTTGGATCCAAGGAAAGTTTTTCTCTGAAATGAAAATCCGAGCTACTTTGATAAAGAAGTATTGCATGGTGTGTTCACTGATGATAATAGCCTGGTGAGTAGAGCATTTTTAGTCATGATTCAATCAGTTGAGAAGATTTCGAAATGCATTGGCGCGTGATTGTTGTTAACCTTGATGTTACAATTTGTTTCTGTCAATCGATGTTATAACTAAAACCGGAGCCACAGGGATGATAACCGAGATTGTTTGACTGAAATTAAGTCGTTTATTTGAATCGTAATTAACAACAACACCAGATTACGTGACACTTTCTAAGTCCCGGGACAAAATAAACTTAGCTCGACAAATCATTTGAGCGTATCCACAAACACGATTACAGGAAATGAATCTAGAGCCAAGACGTGTATTAAAATCTTGTTAAAAAGTGGAAGAGCTTCTGGTATTTGTGTGTGAAAAGCACAATGGTGCAGAGTGTGCTTCTTTAAGTTTGCTCGAAGCCATTTTAAAGCTACTGTTGACCTTCGGATGCATTTGGGGGGCTGGGGATTGGATCCAGTACCTCCAGAATTATAAACAATATTATTCAGTCTGAAGGATTTTAGATAGACAATTGAAATTCAAGACAACTTCCATTCAGGTGTTAGTCATGGTCATTGAAAATTTGGTAGGGATTGATTGGTTTTATAGATATACATTGATGTGGAAGTGACTTGCCCAGGATTTCTTCAGCTCCTAAACCATTACATGCGAATGCTGCGAACTGTTAATTAGTAAAATTTTATTTTAGATACCTTTAATTTTATCTGAACTTGTATGTTAGACAGCTAGCTATCCATTGATGATAAAATGTTTTTTTGTTTTGTTTTGTTTTGTTTTTTCAATTTTGAAAATCCATCGAGAGCCAGTTAACATGTCCTTAAGAGAAGACATTAAATAGAGGCGCGGTTGTGTTATCATAATATAAGTATTTTTCTTTTCATTTTAGAATCTTTGTTCTCCGAATTCATGAAATGTAAGCCGGAAGAAATGGAAAAGATATACATGATGTTAGACTGGGAATTATCAAGGGTGGTGAAAAATTGGAGGCATTTTGCAAGAGAACTCAAAGTTGCAGCAGGACTTGTAGAAAGACTAAGATGGTAGGGTACCTTTAGTCCAACCGCGAACATTTTTGATTACTTGGAGTCCTCTAAACCAGACCTCACAATTGAGACGTTGAAGTTTGTTTTCGAAGACATCAACAGGAATGATTTGAAAGATTTGCTGAATGGAGGTATTGTGGCAAAACTGTGCTTCTTCCTTAATTTGCAAAACAAACTAGTTGTATATACAACTCTGTTAAGTTTTCGGCTCATCCTCGGTGTAGAAAGCTGTGAAGCTCACGAGTGACGTAAAACAAAGACAACAAAACATTATAAACAATAGCGTACAGCAAAACAATACCTCATGAAACAAAGAAAACATCGTCAGGTTTTTACACCAAGGATGACCCAAGTTTTCTCACTATCACCGCCATTGACTTTTTGTCTATCTGATCGATATACATAATACTGATAAACACTTTGCTTTAGTGTTTCATTAATCCAGAATTCATTTGAATTTGTACAACTTACTCGAATTGTAAGTTCCTCGTGATATTTATTGACCCCCAGCTCTTATGACTTACGAATTTGAGGAAGAGGCAAGTAAATTTATTTCATTAATGAATGAGTTGAATAAGTTCCTGCACTTGCTGATGTTGAATAGGTGGTTTGCACGTTACGTCATTGCCGCCATGTTGGTGGACGTAAACAATAGATGTCTCATTAGCTCCTTTTGTTCGTCCCCAAACATTTATTTCTTTCACTATTGTTACCTGTGTCTCTAGAGATTGGTTGCAAAACACCTACAAATTCACTTGCTTTTTGCCAACAACAGTACATTAATTGCCGCAGTTTCAGAAAGTCAGACCCTGGCCTGAAGATGAAAGCTTTCTTAAAATGTTTACCATGACCATTTTTTTTATGATTTTTTAAACCAGTTGACAACAAGTCGTACGTACGCACTGCCTTAGATAAAGATAAAGACCTCTTAAAAAAAATCGCTCTGGGACTTGACAGATTCAAAGGAGCCACAGCGAACTGGAAAGACTTTGCCAGTCATGAATCGATTGGTATAGTAGCCAAAGGCGAGTTACACCAGTTTGGAACACCACTGTCAGAGAACCCAACAGCAAAACTTTTCCAGTATCTGGAAACAAATAAACCCCAGTTGAAATTAGGAGAACTGTATGATGTACTCAGCTCTGATGCGGTCAAGAGAGTTAACACCGCTCATCGTCTTGGGGATGCAAAAGGTATGAATTTTGTGCCTGTGAGGTTATTACTGTTTTAATTATTTTTATCACTTTTCTCCATCCCTATTATAACTGGTTTCTAGGAATTGCAAGTATTATAGTTCATTAAAAAAACGGACCAGGAAAAAAGAAGAAAATGCAATACAAAACAAAGTAGGAATGGAGAAGAGCCCGATATAAATGTAATTAACAGAGGTCATTAAGTCCTTTTTTAAAGTATGAATTACATAGTTCAAAAGAAAAAGAAACACACACATGTACACACAGACACAAAATTACATCGATGTTTAATTTGTCCTGTGACTGAATTATATGTAAACGCTGGCGGTGTACAATGCATTGCATGTTGGTCAGTCTCACAGTGTATCTAGAATGTGAGATGGTTCGCGTTATGTGGTATGAGCATATATTGCGTTGCAAGAGATGTATGTTTTGTGGTGAGTCATCTGTTACATGGCATGAACTTATAGGAGTGTGCTTTGCGTTGTGTGTTGTCTTTGGCTGTATGGACTTTGCAGTGTGGAATGCGGAAGGTAGTGGTGTCACGTGTTCTCTGGTGGTACGAGAGCGCATTACGCTATGCGTTCAATGCTGATATTTCAACTTGCTTGTTTTGATGGAAAAACATAGAAACAGTAAGATATAATCGATGCAAGGAATACATAGGAAAGCTCTGTTTATGTCACTTGCGTCAAAATGGAAAAAATATAGATGACTACCATTTATGGTCTCAAATCATACCTGCGATTTCAAACAACTCGCCCTGCTCGCTCGTACAATTTTAAAATCACGCATAGGATTTAAATTTGCACTCTATTCATTTCAATTAGCATTATATATTTTGAACAATTTTTCCCCCACTATCGATATCGATAGAATGTAAGTCAGACGTCAGACAGGGCTTAATAAATATCTAACTGTTTCAGTCGAAGAGTCGTCTTGGCGTGATCGATTGGTGAAAGACGTTATAGTGCCAGAATCAGAACTACTCCGTAAGATATGCAATGACCTCAACAGAAAAGTTATTGGAACGGGCAACTGGAAAAATGTGGCAGCGGATCTTGGAATACAACGCGAAGTTTATCATGAATTTGAAAAACCTAGAGAAAAACAGAGCCCTACTGAAGAAGTCTTAAAGAGGGTTACTGCTGACCAACCTCGCATCACCATACTTCAGATTGTTCAAGCACTGGGGAAAATTGAGCGCAACGATGTCGTTCAAGTTATTG